CCCCCTGGGCAGCCCGTGCTGCAGCAGGCTCGTGGCAGGCGCTGTGGCCCCTGGAGAGAAGAGCCTAGGCTGGAGCAGGCTGCTCCCGAAGGGCTGCACCCCTACAGCTTCTGTGAAGAGAATGAACTCTGTCCTGGCTGAAGCCAGCACACCAGGCAGGCAAGGTGTCACCTCTCAAGACGTAAGCCGAGTCACCAGGCAAACAGCAGCCACTCTGGTCCCTGGCTGTGGCTTCAGACCACCGTTCACACGCGTCCTCCACCACTGCAGGGCTGTGGCAGCCAGCCCCAGCTCTGTTCCACAGGTCAGGGCTGATCCTCACAGCGGCAGCAAAAGGAACTGGCTCCCAGTATGCAGGGGACGGCCGTGGGGCTGGGAGCAGTGGCGTGGGCTGACGGTACTCTGCTGACAACGGTGAGAACGCCAGCCTGAGCAGTGATGGCTGCGGGGTTCAGCAACACCCCATCAAAGAGGGCTTACCTCAGCAAACAGCCCACTGAACTCCCCCTCGGCCTACCCGCAGCTCCAGCAAAAAGCATCCCGGACCTGACACTCAGCTAATCCCTCGCTGAAGACACACAGCCGTACCCAGTCCATACTCCACAGACTCCGGGTGGTCATCGTCCCCTTCCTCGCTGACCTTCTGCAGATGCTGCAGGTAGGCGTCCGTGTGGAAGCTCGCCATCTCCTCCATTGAGGCCACTTTTGGCTTGACTATGCTAGGCAGAGAGGAGGGAGGGAGCACGTCAGGACAAGAGGCTCCAGGGTTCAGCCAGGCTGCCCAGTGTTAACCTCCTCCAACTAGGAACCTTCTTTTGGCAGTTACTGTTGAAACAGCAAACAAACCCCCCTCCTCCCCTCACAGCAGACCGTCACTGTGAGCGAGAACGCGGCTCAGTGGGGCTAGAGTCAGCCTTTCCCCCAGACTGGCACCATAGAATCATTTGGGTTGGAGGGACCTTAAAGCCCCCGCAGTGCCACCCCCTGCCATGGGCAGGGACACCTTCCATAGCCCAGGTTGCTCCAAGCCTCATCCAGCCTGGCCTTGAACACTCCTAGGGATGGGGCATCCACAGCTTCTCTGGGAACCTGTCCCAGTGCTCCCCACCCTCTGCGGGAAGAACTCCTTCCTGATATCTAATCTAAACCTCCCCCCTTTCAATTTAAACCCGTTACCCCTTGTCCTGTCACTGCAGGCCCCTGTCAAAAGTCTCCCCCAGCTGCCTTGTAGGCCCCAAGGACCATCTGCTGCACCCACCCCAACGTGGGACACCTGCAGGTGCCGCCGGCATTAACCTCTGCACTTCAAGGGCTTCTCCCTTTCCTGCACGTTTTCCCAGCCTGAGCAGCCTCCGGCAGGTCCAACACTCTGGTTACACAGAGGGAGAACATCCAGGCCCTGCGCAGCGCTACGGCAGGACGCCACTCTGCTGGGCCAGGAGCTGAGTAGCGCCTCTTCTGCGCTCTTAACTCCACCTGCGTTCGAAGCTGAGACCGTCTCTGCCCTCAGCAACCCGCACGTCACCTTTCCCAGCTTCAGGCGCTTTGCAATCTGCCTGAACAAACCCTGCGACACACTGAAGCTCTCTCCCAACCTCAGTCTCTGGGGTGCACATCAGCAGTGCGGTACATCCCCACTCCACGGGAGAAATGCAAGAAGCTCCCGGCACAAGGCTGGCCCAGGCCCCGTCCCTGCTCCCTCCATGCCAGGCCTGGCAGCCCACCAGGCCCGGCCCTGTAACGCTACTGCAGCCATTTCCCGAGCATGCACTACCAATACAACCACACATAACCGCGTCCCAAGGGGACTTCCTAGCTCTGCTGAACTGGAGTGTAGGATTTCTTTGAGATGTTATGCATTGTTACACAGGAGAGGATGAGCTAAGCCTTTTCTTTTCCTTCGTATCCCCCAGTATCACGAGCCTAATGGGGTGGGAGGGCTCTTACTCTTCTGCCTCAGCCCTCATCTTCTCTGAACAGCATCAAGACCTCAGAAAAGCCTCCCAGACCAACCACAACACAGCAAAACGGCACGGTGCCCCCCTCGGCATCAGCACTGGCCAGAGGATTCAAAGCTGTTCCAACAGGGATGGTCTCTACGCCATTGCTTCTGCTCAGAGGCACGAGAGCAGCGGCTGGGAGCGTGCTCTGCGCAGAGAGCACACGGCGACTTGTGCTCCACGTTTTCCCCCCCACACCCCCCCCCTGCCATAGCCTCCTTCATTCCGCCAAACAAGCAGACTTGCCTTAGGTCCCAGAAACACACAGCGCGTGGGCTCCTACAGTCACGCCGCCAGCCCGGACAGCGCAAGACCTGCAGTTACTCAGAATCTTCCAAACCTTAGCAGAGAAGGAAACGTTCCCTTCACAGAAAAGGGGAGCACTTACTTCATCTGGTCAAGTAAGGAATATGCTTCAATCAAGGAGTGCACCATGCTGGCCTAGGGCGAGAAGAACAGGTCTGTGAGAGCAGCCCGGTGCCCAGAGCGCAGCAGCCAGGGGCTACGGGACCCGCAGCACCGGTGTAACCGGGAGCA